AAGGGTGAAAAATTGTGTGTGTGGCGGGGGGGGGGAGTTGTGAGTTCATCCCCATTCAGGACAGGACATCCTTTATTTCATGTCCTTTTCACCATTTGAATCAAAATTTGACAGTATAATTCTGTCAACTTTTAAAATCTTATAATTTGAGTGCAAATAGTTATTCCAGAGGAAACCAACAGTGTATAGAATAGGAGCCTCATTAATCTTATTAAAAATCCAAGAAAATATGGATCAAAGGAAAAAGATCTACATTCACCTTGAAACAACTCCTCTTTCCTCTACATCACTGTCAGATGTTTGATCTCCTTTTCTAATGCATACAGAAGAGGGTCATTTCAAACATTTGTTCTACCACAAATTTTTATTTTAACAATATTCTTTTTAATATATATTATTTATTTATTTTTCTGTAAGAGCTGTCCAAGGTTACTTTAAACATATGGGAATGATTATTTATTCAATTACACAATGAACAGAATAACATTTTAAGCCACTAGGCTTGAAATTTTGGCCTTGAAAAACCTAGAACTATGCCACCTACTATCTGACCTAAGCTTAGTACACAAAATTATCCGCTACAACATCCTACCTGTCAATGACTACTTCAGCTTCAACCGCAATAATACAAGAGCAAACAATAGATACAAACTCAAGGTAAACTACTCCAGACTTGATTGCAGAAAATACAACTTCAGCAACAGAGTGGTCAATGCCTGGAATGCACTACCTGACTCTGTTGTTATATCCCTAAACCCCCATAATTTTAACCTGATTGTCTGCTGTTGACCTCACTCCATTCCTAAGAGATCTGTAAGGGGCATGCATAAGTGTACCAGTGTGTCTAATGTCCATGTCCTACTGTCCCCATTCATTCATACCTATTTACTGTATTTTTATTTATGTTTACACTTATACCTGTTATCTTTTACATGTTTGACAAATTAAATAAAAAAATAAAATAAAAATAAAAAAATCTTAACAATCAGGAAATGGGCTCTGTCACACTTGGGCTCCCTGACTTAGCCACAACCTTTTCAAGGCCTTATACAAGACAGCAAGGTGGGTTGGCATGATCTCCAAGTGGTTGATGGTCAAGCTACAGAGCAGAAAAGGGTCTCCTTCTGGGTCTTGCAAGTCAATGCCTTTTAGTTAATGAGACTTGTATCATATTCTTATTGCTGGGATGTATTATTATTATATTGCTGGGATTCTATTATGGATAGAAATAACCAGGAAGGGACAGTCCCAAACCAGAAGGGGCTGAACCAGACAGTCTATTTAAATGGAATGTAACCTCTTTGAAAACTTGCCTGGCTGATAATTTTCACAAATAATCTTGATATTGGAATTTATGAGTTGTACTGTTTTGAAACAGTCCAACTGAACACATAAGTGCATAGAAGTACAAAATATGTCAACTAAAATAATAATAAGCTATGAAACCAGAAGATAAAGAATTATTGATGGACAAAGTAACAGGAAGTAGGACATGAATTTTCATGACCAAGAACTAGTCAAGGACAGCTAATGTTGATAAAAATTAGTTGGTTGGAGTCCAAATTTTAAAGTAAAAAAAATTAAAAGTTAGGTAAGTAATGTCTGTGTTCATGAATAGAAGAGGACTATTAGTATCTTGCTCTTCTCACTCTTCCAATTTTTGGAAGCAAGGAACTGAGACTTTTCTGTTTATATTTGTTAGGAAAATTGTATTGACTAGCAATGAGTATCTCTGAGTAGTTGTGCTGAAATTCAGAAATATACCAAGAGGACAACCAAATTCAAATATGAGTCAAAAATGTAGGGAATTGTTGTGATGTACAGTGTAGTAATGATTATGCTCACTGGAGATAAAGCTTATAACAAGAAGAAAAAACATTTACTGAGTTTTCATCTCCAAACATGTTCCCAGACTGCTTTTTTTATTATTCATCTCCTTATTTTTCAGATTTTGTCTCCTGGCTGTCATTTGATATTAAACTGATTTACTGAGAATATTGCTGATTGCTGCAATTTGACTTTCTTTTTTTTTATTTCCTCATTTAAACTGAGTTAGCAAAGCAATCGCTGTGCTTATGTAAAGAAGGAGCAAAGAGCAAGAGTCATATAAACCCTGATATTGCCTGAATATGTATTCTGTAATTTAAAAATAATGGTCCCAAAATACTGTGCCAAGAAAAGCTGAATGTCATATTCTATACATTATGAGCAGTTAGTGTACCTGCATATATTAGCTCAATTTACTTAATTTACTAGATTTCTGCAGGCAGCGTCAAGGAGAGAATCAAGGATTTGGGCAATGAAAAAATATATTCAAACAGACTGAAATCATATTGATCCTCATTACTGGCTTTGGATATATATTTTCAAACTTATATTCATTTCACAGAACAAACACAGCAGTCTTCATCATGCTGAAGGCTGGTGTGTTTGCTCTGTACTAATACTCTCCAATATAATAAGAGTAGCTGAAAATTTCATCTGGTACCAAATTCTCTCTCTTCCCACCCCCCTTCTCTCTCTGTCATTCCCTCCCTCCTTCTCTACTTCTCTTTCTCCCCCTCTTTCTATCAAGATTATAGGAGAAGAAAGAAATAAGTAAATAAAAAATAAAAATACTAAAAAAAAACAGTATTAAGAAACTAGTAAAGGTTCTGCTCTTGCCTCCCATTTTACCCCAATAGTTGCAATGAACAATTTGTAAGCATCTAGACTTATTTCTGATATCTATTTCTCATCTGCTGTCATTTTTAAAATCTGCCTTAGAAACCATACTTAAAATATATGAATTTTCCCTATTGTGTAGTGGATAATATATATGGAAGTAATTCTTGCTAGAATTATGCACTGTGGTGGTGCAGTGATTACAATGCAGTATTGCAGGCTATGTCTGCTCACAACCAATTTGATCCTGACCAGTTCAAAGTTGATTCAGATTTACATCTTTCTGAAGATGGTAAAATGTGGACTGAGATTGTTGGGGACAATATCATGAGGTTATAAACTGCTGAGAGAGTGCTGGAATGTATATAAGTCTAAGTGCTATTGCTATTCATTTAAGCTGTGAAACCATACAATTATTTGTGTCATTGCTGTGTATATTTCAGGTTTGGTTTTCCAATCTGATACCAATCTGATTCTAATCTGATACCATCATTGGAAAAGAGATTTATCAATTTCTTTTCCAATGATGGACTGAGTTTGTCGCCATCAATATGTATCTTAATAAATTGTACTGTTTCTTCCCAATTTCTAGTTTTTATCTTTATACTAGTTCTTAACAGAACAACTCCTGTATTAAACATTATTATATTTTTATCCCTCATATCATGCCCGTTTTCATATCTCCACTTTAATTGACTTCTTGGCACATCTCCCATACTCCTCCCTTGGGGTCTTGTATCTTCTTGTCTCATTCGTTTTTGATCTAAATATTTATTCTATTTCTGTTACTTGTTCACTCTTTCAAGCCTTCAGTACACCTTTCAATAATCTTTTCCTCTCTTCAGGGATGTCTTTCTGTATAGCCCCTTCTATTTTTTGATCTCTTGAAATGTAATTTACCTTTTTAATTTCATCTTTTACTAACTCTTCTTTTTTATCCTTTGGTATCATTTGTTGTCTTTCCTCCCCTGTCCTTTTCTCTGTGCTTCTTGTGTTTAATGATCATTGTTTAATGTCATTTGCTCATACATTTCTGGTCTCATAACTACTTCATGTAACAATTCTTTTATCTCCCTATGGTTCCTTGTCATCATTTCCTGGGTTCCAAGGAACACCAATAATATTTCTTTTAATAATACATGTATTTTCTTCTGCCACATTTTGTCTTATTTTAATAACTCTAACAGTTTACTCAATAATCTTTCAAAGTCCTACTATCCCAATTATTCATCACACCTAGATAGCCAATATTAGAGCAGTTCAAACAATCACTCCATTAAATAGTCTTTTTGTTTCAAAACTCCAAGCTGTTTCACACTCTCACACTGTCCAGCATATTTGTAATCCTCAAGGTTCTGAAAGTTGGATGTTTTCACAGTCTGTCTCTAAGTACTAATATAATCAGTTTATAGGTGTTATTTTGTGTATTCCAAATAATCTACCCAAGATATAACACCTTTCACTTCTTTGACTTTCTTCAGTTGCTGAAGAAGTTGCCTTCCTGGCCAGTAGGTGTCACTGATACTTTTTTTCCTCTGCTTTTGCTGGAAATACAATGTCTCAAAAAAAAAAAATCCAATAATTTCCCAAAGTTCTTCAAATCAAGATGGTAATTAAAATATAATCCAGAATTTTGAAACAATTTAAGTTGCTAAAAACTAGTCAACCCAGTCTATCTTTTATCTTTAAAATTACTTCTGTCTACAATTTCTTTCCTTTCTTTTCCAAAACTGACAGTAGCTCCAGATCTTAATCACCGCTATTTACCTCCATTGAGTTCCACTTTCCAAAGGGGAATGCTTTAGGGAAAATTCCATGCCAAAAAAGTTAGAAAAGTTCTTATCCAGACCAAGCACACTGTTACAAAATCTTTCCTTTCTTCTCTTCCATTTCAACTGTCACGGCTTCAGTTCAGCCATAATGGCAGTCTTCTCTTCTGCTGTAGGATATCTTTCAGTTGAAGGATATTTTCTATTTTCCGATTAATGCCTTGCAATAGGTTCTTTATCGCTCTGTGATTCTTTGTCATAGTATCCCTAATGCTTTGAAATATCAACACCATTTATTTTGAAATCTCACTAATTTGCCCCTGATGGAGCATCTTGGCTTATTTTAGTAAGTCTCACTCTTACTCAATAGGCAAAAACAATATATTCAAGTCCAATGTTACTCCTCAGAAAATTCAATAATCATAGTTCTTTACATCTCAGAATTATTAATCAGTTCCATTTAAGTAGTCCAGGCAGCTTCCACAAATCAAAGTCACTTTACTTTACTCAAGAGTCTTCCTTATTCTCACAATAGAATCTCCAGTAATCATAAAGTAGATAGCTATAGAACAGTAAGTATCACCGCACTTACTGGTGTTTATTTCTCTTATCAATGCTGTTGATAAGAATGCTGTTTATTTCTCTTATCAGGAATTTTCTCAGGTTTGTAGTTGTATGGTATATTTTTCTTTCACCAGTAGATGGTGCCCTCAGCTTAGGTTTCACCATTGTTTCAAATCTGATTAATTGATTAATTTAATTTTAGTTCAATTTATGGAAACAAAGTCAGCTAATCAAGTAGATAGTTCCAGCATCTTGTAATGCCTTTCCAAAACAATGGCTACCCAGTTTAAAAATCCAATTTTCTATGTTTTAAAAAGTATTTAACTTTTCTCTCTTACTTCCTTTCTTTTGGGTATAGGATTTTTCTCTCTATGGTTGTTCGCAAGTTTAAGCAATAGTTCTAAGTGTCTCTTTTCCTGGAGTTTCTTCTTCTTTTAAAGTTAGGGTCTAAATAAAAAAGAATCTTCTCACCCAGCTCTAGTCAATGTTCATCTACATCACTCCTGCACATTTCTTTGTTGCCTTGGCTGTCCCAGTTTCATAGCAGCCATTATGGCTGCCTCTTCTCCTCGTTGATGATGACAGGAGAAAACCCCTGGGTCAAGCAGGAGAGTTGCTGCTCTCCACAACCTGCACAACCCCTACAGGGTGTCTTTAGCTCCTTTTGGAGACCTCCAATGGGGATAATTCAGCACTATAGCATGGAGATCCAATTATCCAATTATCCAATTATCCCTCCAATGGGGATAATTTAGCACTATAGCATGGAGATTCACCCTCCAATCTCGCCAGTCAGAAGTCTCCAGGATTTTTTTTTAAAGATATGATACAATGGTTCTGAGATAACATCTGCCAACTCCTTCAGAATTCTGGGATTTAATGAGGAGTCCTTTTAATACAGCTCAACCACATAGTACTTCAGTTCGGGGCATGCTGAATTGTCCTCTTCATTGGCATTTGAAAATTTTCTGGGAAGGCATGCATCTAAGGCATTTCTACTAAAGGGAAAGAGTCCACTTTAATAGGACTATTAGAGGTGTCAAAACATGAACCACACTTTTGCACTTTGAACAAACATCAAAATAAATTATTTAGGATCAATCAGGAGGGATTGACTCCGTATTTTTTGCATATCACAACAGAAATCACCTTGATGCATAAGGTTCATCAACTCCTTGATCATTTTCTAGAAATTTTATCAGATGACTTGGTCTGTGTGATATGATATGAAACAGGGAGGAAAACCTATTTTTATCTGTGTTCTCTATTCTGTGAATCATTTAATAAACTTCCATAAATTAAAACCTTTTTTTCATACATTTAAATGAATCCCATGTGTACTTCCATTGCACATTGATAATAATGCCATCATCACATAAATAAAAGATTATTGAATAAACTACTATTATTCAGAAACTATTATGTTTTGATTATGGAATCAAAACATAAATTACATGGTCAATCTGGAGATACTTTTAGGAAATTTCAAGGAAGAAATAGTATAATTAAAATGCATGCATTACAAGTAACTTACCCAAACATTTCCATCTTGGTGATATGGCTTCCAATTTCTCCCTGTATCACTGTAAAGCATTCGGTACTGAGTTACCCAGTCAGAACTACTATATCTGCCTTGAGTAGCAATTGAGCTGATCTGTTTCCTATTGCCAAAATCAACTTGCAACCACTGGTAATGATTACTTTCTGATGGACACCAGCCTCCAGCACCTACAGAAGTAAAAATGATATTATTAAATTTCTAATATGATATTTACAGAAAGTGATTTTTTACTGAGACGTATCTAAGTGAAAACTCATTAGAACTTTCCTCTTTTGTTTCCATTTTCAGTATGTAACTAAAGTATTTCAGATGAACTCCAAAGCAGCAAAAGTCAACAATAGGAAACAATGCATGCTCTGAGAGAGAAGGAGATAGACTCTCAGAGTATCAATATGTTTTGTTTGATAGTTAATGTCAATTCATGAAAATTACCATCATAACTTGAGTGGCATTCTGATACCTCTGAGAGGAATTCTAGTGTACTGAAGAAGAAGAATGACAGCAGTTATATTTTCATTCCTGCTCCTTTACTGATAAATGCTCCATGGAAAAAGCTGTTTATAAATTGGAAACAGGAATTTTTCTCACCCAAACTCATATTGACAACCTGAAGTTGCGCATACTCTTTAAAATTTCCATATGACTGTGATATATCACAGAGGTTTATCAGCCATTGCAAGATCATAGGATTGTTTTTCCTTCTATAAGTAAATAATGTTAAAGAGCTTTGCCAAATTTCCTGTAAAGGACAGTGTTTCCAGCCTTGTAGATTTCTACAGTAACTTTTTTAAAGCAGTTAATAGGTAATATCCAAAAATGACTTGCCAAGATAACACAAATTTAGTGTCCTTTGAAAAGTATGGCAAATCTCTTGCCTCCTGATTCTCCTTCAGAATAATAGACTAACATAGTTGGAGGTCTTCTAGTCCAGCCCCTGACTCAAGCAGGAGTTCCTACATCATCAACCCCCAAACTAGGGAAGATGTAGTTAAATTATTTATTATTTATGATGAGGGTAGGAAGCCTCTTTCTTAAGAGCTTTTTCTTCCTCTTTCTATGTTTCCTTTCTTTTTTGTTTTATTGAATATTTTGTTCTCTTTCTTTTAAGTTTGCATTATTTTTTACTATTATAATTAAAACTTTTAATATTTTTTTTAAAAAAGAAAATCATCTACTTGAATGATCACAACAGGCAAAATTCAGTTGCAATTATACTGTGGTACCTGTCAGCCCACACTTACTCTTTCCTTACAGTGAACATATCTTTTCAATTTGTATAATAATTATATGTCATTTATGATTTTAATTTAATCGTACTAAAAATGACTATCATGAGTAAGAACCAAGCAACTTTATAGGCATTTAATGACATCTTCTTAGTAACTGTCAAATTATAATCATTTTAAAGTTTGACCAAATTATCCACAACATCCCTTGTCAGAGTTCTCCAGCATGACAATGACAGCTGATTGATTCTTTACTCCCTAATTAAGCCACTGTTTCAAATTAAGTGGGAGGGAATAATAGCAACCACATCTGCACTCTCCAAAGCACTATAGCATTTATTAAAATATATAAGCTTCAAAAATTTCATAGGCTACTAATAGTATATGTCCTACTGCCTGATTAATGTTTTATATTCAGGTTACATTAAAAATGAAACTATCAACATACTGTTTCATGAAGCTGCATTGCTCATTCCAAGAAAATCATCCTACAGAAAGCATGAGCAAACATTTCAGCTATCGATTGGGAATCTAGGATCAAGCTATATGGGGGAAAAACTTTGTCTGTCCTCTTTCCCAACAGCAGCATCTTCATACCCCATAAAAGATGGAGGGGCTTCACAAAACAGATTAAGCTGAAATCTATAGAGTAAAAAATCCAAAACTTTGAGCAGAAACACTCTTCTTTTTCCATTAGTGGTATAATAATAGTGGATAGTTGAAAAACTGGCTTTATCAGGAATAGCTTGATAACTTTTCAGCAATTAATTCAATTCAATTTACTGTGGTCAAATATCAGTATGAATAATGAACAAATAACATTTCAGAGAGAATTAAAATACAATTATGATATAACCTTACTAACATCTACTAACTGAGATATGAACTTTATTAAATTATAATGTAAACACTATAATGATATTAAATATGGTAACAGCTAAAATTATAACAAAGAAAATAAAGGTATATGTCTGTTGAGATTCTTAGTCATCCAGGTCATGGTTGTCCCAAGGGAGTTTTTCAAAAGACAATTGGACTTTCTTTGTTTTTTTTTCTCTTGAAGACTTTTTACTTTTCATCCAAAAAGAATCTTCAGTTCTGACTGAATGGTGGGGAATGGAAGGACTTTGTGCTAAAACTCAGATGACTGCAAGGAATAGAAATCCTTTCATTCCCCATCATTCAGTCCGAACTGAAAATGTTTCCTGGATTAGAAGCAAAACATCTTCAAGAGAAAAATAAAGGAAGTCTAGTTGCCTTTTCAAAAAAGCACCTTTGAGACAAAGTAAAGGTATCTAAAATTATTATTATTAGTAGAGTAAAAATATTTATATTGGCCCAGAAGATACTGGATCTTCTCTGCTACTATACAAAACCTAGGTACATGTGCTGTAACACAGGGTATTTGTCTGTGAGTCTGGCAGGCACAGTGGTGGCGGGAGTATGAAAATGGGAAGGTCCTAACCTTCTTACTGCCCACCCTGACTGCCACCACTTCTGTTTCCAGCTTCTTCTGCTCAGCGCTTTGGCAGCAAGGGCAGTGGAAGTATGGAAATGAGAAGACACTGTATGGTATCAACTTCCTGCTACCTGCCCCAATATGCACTATTCCCATCCTCTCACTTGCCCTCCAGCTGCCATGAGTTGTCCCTGCAGCAAGTAGGCCATATGGAGTTGTCTTGCAGTGACTTGGTGGTAGTGATTTGGCAGAGGTGAGTTGGTAGTGGTAAACTGTCCTAGACCCTCGACCCACAGCTCCTCTGATGAATTTAGGTTGCACCCTTTCAAGAAAGGTGAAACAGGAAACTGAGAGGGCACAACTAGAGTCCCATAAGGAAACAGAGAAAGAGGCTTAGCCTGAAAGAGGTTAAGTATGTCTGGAACATAATATCCTTCCTTGGATTAGAAAAAAATAAGGATGATATTGGGAAATCTTTGTCTAATAATAGCAGAGGATTTGCAGGATTTTTTCCTCAAGCCGGTGGTATTCATGATTACTCCTAAACACTATATTTATTATAATTTTTAATTATTTAAATTTTATTAATTTTCTATTATTAGATTTAATTAGTGCTTAATAAACTTCATGTTCTCAATAGTTTCGTTAAGAGAAGCAGACCCCCACTTTCCCCGTGAAGAGGGGGGGAAAAACACTAGGAAGAAAAACAAATGCCTTGCCAGCATTCCTAATAAACTTTAATATCATATCAATAATCTGTCCATCCTGATCAATAAAGCAAAGGGTGGCAATATCTGTTACTGAATGTAAGATGCCCATGACCTCTTCGTAGTATTTGAAGTAACTATATTTAAATCATAACAAGGGACATCTCCCTAGAAAGAGTTCCCACTAGCAAAAGTGTATTTAGTAACTTTTTTTATTTTGACTGACACATAATAGTCAATTGTGTTTTCACTATCTGCCTTGTTTCTACTTACAAATGAAAACATGGAAAGAAGAAAAAAAATATCATGCAGTCCCACAGCAAAGGAGAAAACACATTCCTCAAAAGGATTAAAATGCCACATGGAATGCTCCTATCAAGAAATTTCTTGTAGACACTTATATGGATTTTTATAGAAAGAGCAGTAATCTAAAATGTTTCTAGAGGAAACTAATTTTGGCAGCAGGGATTTGAATAAATTGTGTACTTACCATAGTGAGACTATAACATCTGAAAGGAACATTAGGTGAATTTGTATGTGTGGTGTTTAAATAGTTATTGGCAAGGGTTAGAATGGAGACAGAGTTTGCTATCCTTTTGTTGTGGATAGATTCACAGGAATGCCTTTCTGATAACTTCTAGTAGTTAACAATTCACAAGAGAACATATTATCCAATAAAATGCAGATAAGATGTAGAAAAAAGGTATATATGTTGCCTCATCAACTCTCAAGACCAGTTACCAAGGCTCAGTGGATTAGTACCATCAAATTGTATGCTGGAGGATGCCAATAGAGCCTCCTGGCAATCCCTATTATCACCATAACTCAAACCAGTGAACTGATACACACTGTAACTATACAGATGCTTGGCTACATGATCAAAAGAAATAGCAGTACATACTCCCACCACTTGGAAAATAAGATTAGGGCCAAAGATCAAGGCAACCTGGAAAGAGATTAGTCAACTGGTGGAATTACAGAAGGGTATGAAAATTAGTAATAAAACTCAGTTACTGGAAAAATACAGTAGAAAAAAGCCTGACTTCATCTGAAGCCCTATAGTCTGCTAAACATAAGCTCACAGCACTGTGACCAAGCAAAGGAGATACACTAGCGAAGCAGAAGCCAAAAAGATAAATGCTCTTCTCTTTTAGAAAAAAACATCCAAAACATATTTCCAACTGCAATGCATCAATTCACTAACAGCCAAAACTGAACACTACTGGAAGAAAATATGGAGAAAAAGAAAACACAGAATGCCTGTTCAAATTGCTGCAGGGTCTGAGAGTAGACTACAGCAGTTATCCAGAACAGAAACCAATCACCATCGCAGTAACAGAAATTTAACAGTAGATGAAGAATTGGACAGTATAATGTACTGGTTAAAGAAATTCTTAGCAATGCATGAATATCTAGCAGCAGACTCCCATCAGACTGGCTATACTGAGGCAGGAGAGGGCTGCTCAGGTAAACCCACCCAGCCCCAGTAAGGGCAGGTACCTATAACATGCTTACTATAACTCCATATTAGTTTTGCATTTAACCTTGATACACTTTGATTCCTTACTTCCTCATAAGTATTACAAATATTACTGGAACTGTGTGGCAAGATACTATACAAGGATGGGCACAGGAAATCACCGTAGGTGTAAGATATTAGAACAGAGAAGTTACAGAAAACTGTTGGTATGAAATCAGCACTTTGCCTTCCTGTTTTTGATACTTTTGTGTGAATTTCTGCTTTTTTATTTTTCCAAAATGTACTTCCTTGTTCTGAAAGGGGGCTTTTACATTTTGTATGAATACGCCTCTTTAAACGCCTTCTGATTGATGAAGTTTGATTTACAGTATAAAATCACTGCCCTGGGCGTAGCCCTGACAATTCTGATTTTGGTGTGTGAACACGCTGAACTCAATGCATCAATAAACCTGTCTCTCTTGCACCTTCATGGTCTCAAGTCCTGTTTCTTTCGTAAATAGATTGGGCAAAAGCCTCTATCTGCTGCAACAATACAAGGAAGGACAATGCTGATCATGAACCGCCCCCCCGCAAGGGAAACGCACCATCAAAGTACAGCCAATGATTGACTGTAAGAAAGCCTATGGTCTAATGCTACAAACATGAATGCCTGTGAATGTCTGGCATTATACAAAGTCAACAGAATGCTAGAAACCTTCCTCAAGAATTCAGTGGGATTATGGAACT